ATAGAATTCAAAATGGTCCATTTAGACACCTGGCTCTATGCTGTTTATAGGCCAGAAAATTGTCTTTTTTATGTTTTTGGTTCATACTTAAGTTACTTGAAAATTAATTGTTGAGGTTAGGTTTTGGCAGACTTTTATCTCTGTTATTAAAATTATTGCCCTTGTTTTGTCAGCAGTAGTTAATGTTTTGACTCTTCACTTTCTATAAAATAGGGAATCTCAATCTACGAGTTGAGTGTACCTTGCAGTGGAAATACAACTTGCAGTAAAACTACATGTCAAACTTGCTGTCATGTTAAACTGTGCTTGCTTAGCTGCTTACCTTAATTTCGAACGAGTCTAACTTACATGTACTCTTAATTTGACAGAGAGATTATTATCCATGCAGACTTGAAACCAGAGAACATTCTTTTGGAAGAAGGTATTTTAAAGTAACCTTAGCTTCAGAGTTTTCAATATATTAATTATCACTTTGTAAGTAGTTTTTCGTATTTATTTATTAAGCATTAAGAACCAATGTCAGGCTGAAGACATTGATCTCACACCTACTCATGCCTACCAACCAACTTCCTGTGCCTTAAAGCTGTGAATCTTGAGCCATAAAAGCCTTCACTGACACAATTTTATCTTTGTCTATTTCAGGCGAGGAAATCAAGATAAAAGTCGTGGACTTTGGGAATGCAATACATTGGGTTCATAGAGAGGTACAGCAAACTATATTATTGTCCACAGTTATTACTATTACCATAAAGTTCTGGGCTGGGTTTTTTGAAAGGTGGATGAGGCTATCCACCAGATAAATCACTATCCAATGGATAACGTGGTTTGTCTCGTTAACACTTATCCCCTAAGGACAGTGATTTATCCAGTGGATAGGCATTAACCAGCCTTTGAACAATCGGGGCCAGCAAGTAAACACTTGATCCCCAAAGCACCAACTTTCCTTAATTTAAGTGATAGCAACCTTAAGCATAAAAAATAATCACTACTATAGAGCAGCGCATAATTTGCTTATA